ATAAATATATATAATGTGATAAAATAATCATACAAACTAGCTTGCAAATGTGAGCACCCCTTTGGAAGATTTATATATGTACAGGGTATAGGATGACGTTGAACGACAGCAAAGCTGAGCGCATTGGCATACAAAAGCCAAACCCATATGTATTTGTGCGGCTATATGTGTATGCAGCCGTAATTGCATTTGAGAACACATACACATAAGCTCATACACACACACACACACACTCAAACAGAGAGTGAGATGGAGAGAGTGAGCGGCAGACATTTGTAAATTGGCTACAAATGACTTCAAATTGCTTTAAACTGCAAAATATTTTCGCATGCCAAAAACTTTTTAATTCATGTGCAGTGATTATGCTCACACACACGCAGGCACACACACATGCACACTCTCTAACATACAATTTGCATATGCAGTAGCAAAAGGTTGATTAGAATGCTTCATCGAAGCTCACAAAGTTAAAAAGCAAAAGAGAAATATGTAGAAAAATAAATACAAAATTGTATAATGAAATTTTTAACTTGAATGAGAGTTTTCCAAACATTGCTAATGAACCAAAAGAGAGCTCGCTGCAGCAAATTTCTATAAAGCTAACGAATTTATCGAGCCATTAAGCTGAATGCATACTTAAAGATGAATCAACGGTAGCTGTTGCTACTCAAGAGCCGGCATCAATAAATAAATTAAATAAGTGCTTTTCATTTGCCATATTAAGCTAGGCCGCAAAAAAAAAAAAAAATAAATAAATAAATAACAAGCAGATGATAAAGAAAAACATTCACGTCTGCTGAAGAGTAGCTTAAAAATATTCTCTCTATGATAAATTTATAGGTTAAAACTCGTCGCAAGCGCCTAAGAGATGCAACACTTTCTTTTGGCTGGTGTTGAAGCATGTGGCAGAGCCGACTGAGAGGCAAAATGAATTGCCACGAGCAACTGCAACTAAGAGTGGCAAGTGCACTGAAAGAAAATAAAGACTGCGAAAGTTTAGCCTCAGTCTGTTTTAGCCTCAGTTTGAGTCTCAGTTAGAGTCTCCAGTATTGGAAATTTCAACCTAATTTTCTCTGAGTGCAGCAGCACATAAAACAAGCAACAAAATTGCAGCTGAACATGTGAAAAACGTCGCCGAGATGAAAGAATGACTCGAAACAGACGTTGACGATGTCGTCTAAGGATAAAGTTGGCGCTGTGGCCATAAAACGTGCTACTTCAGTGCAAACCTGGCTGCTCGTTTGCTCAGCTGCTCAGTTGCTCAGCTGCTCAGTTGCTGGCCACATCACATGCCATGGCTACATTCATTTTTGGGGCCAAAGTATTTGCCAACTGCTGAGCGCGTCAACTAATCGAACGTCAGCCAAAATTTCGTGCCAATGTCCCCCAGGACATGCACGCACACATAGATACAGGTGCAAAGGTGTTGGAGCTGTGCACAACTATTTGACAAATGCACATCAGGCGGGAGCAGCTCTATGGGTGTTAGCCAGGGGGATTTCCATTAGCGGCAGGACAAATGATGTACATGAACTTTTACAGAATTGAAGCACATGCATCAACCATGCCCATCCAGCTGAATCTCCAGGAGAGGTGGCAAGACTGAGAGCATGACAGAGAGAGAGAGAGAGAGAGAGAGAGAGAGAGAGAGAGAGAGAGAGAAGCTCAGTGGAGCACATTGTGATTTGTGGAAGACTTGACTTTTACGTAATTGCCATTGACAGCCATCGAGCAGACGCTAAGCTGATTGACATTGCTGCTGCAGCAGTGGCTCCACGTGGAGATTTCAGCAGAGAAAATGAATTTTCCTGATTGGAACCAAATAGTGCATACCCTGTATTATAGGGAGTTTATAGGGTGAACTCGTTGGACTTTATTTTCACAGGAATGGGGTGCCTTAATATATGTCATTGAGCAGCAAACTATGTCTGTCGAAGGGCATTTAACTTATGTTCCTCTCTGAGATTGGGAGAATTTATTTCTGTTAAACTCGACCTACACTGTGTAGGGTATACGGTAACCATGGGAATATATGCTCAAATATTGCCTTCAATCATATTCAAAGGGGATATTCTATATTTAATGTGGGAAACAAATCAACTTTTAGAATTTTCATTTAAACAAATTTATTTACATATTAATTTACATTGAATTAATATACATGTTACATTTTTAAGATATACCACGCATTTATCCAAACAGATAACCAACGCTTATGTCGACTCTATCATTAACTTCATAGAGTAATTAAGGGCTTTGACATTCGAAGTATAAATTATTTATTTATTTGATATTTATTTATTTCCGAGTATGAGAAAAAAATGAAACTTTAGAAAAAAATTCTTCAAAAAATGCAGAATAAATTTACTTTGGTTCGATATGGCCATATGAGAAAAGAATCCCAAGCGCCGGAATGTGACTTTTCGATATTTAAGCCAAAGGCTGGTGTGTTTTTCAACAGTGTATTCACACCTGTCATATAACCTTCCACATCAATAAAAGTTATTCGTATGTCTGCTTCCTGTTATAATAGCATCAAATTGAAAGAGACTCGAAACCACTTGAAAGTTCTTCCGTAAATCGGCTTCATTCGAAATGCTTCGCACTCATCAGTTGCTAATTTGGCAGGTGAACTGCATGAGTTGCAATGAGAATTGCATTTGGGGATTTCGATGGGGACATTGGACACCTGTGGTCACATACACAGACCTGATCTGTATGTATATGTATGTATGCAAGGACAACCTAAGCCCATACAAATTTTCTTTTCTCGCTCTGTATGGGCGTGCAGACCTTTTCGGAAACACATGCTGCCAGCATTTAAATGCCATTTGATGTCTGGCAGCCAAACACAAGCACTAAACAATGCTATGGTTTGTCCTTTTCAAGAACCGTTGCCAATGTATGGGTGTTTTGTG